GATGCCGTCGTCTCCCCCAGGCTCTTTGAGCCCACCGGTCTGGTCGCCTCTGTCCTCGAGGGCTTCACCGTTTGGAAGGCCTTGTTGACTCTGTTCGTTGCCGCTGTCATCTACGACCAATGTACGTCTTCTCTCCAAGCCAATGCCCGAGAATCGGGCCAAATCGCGACTCAATTTTAACCATTTATATAGTCCGTTATCTCTGGCTCAAGGGCTCCATTGTCGGCCCAGCATGGAAGTTGCCTTTCATGGGACCTTTTCTTCAGTCGGTGAACCCCAAGTTCCACGAATACAAGGCCAAATGGGACAGTGGTGAATTGAGCTGTGTCTCCGTCTTCCACAAGTAAGTAATGCTTTGCGACATGTTCCGGGTGTGCGCGGAGGCGCATGACTGGAAGAGGCCAGATTTTAACTTATCTGCTTATAGGTTCGTTGTTATCGCATCCACTCGCGACATGTCGCGCAAGATTTTCAACTCGCCCACCTACGTTAAGCCTTGCGTTGTGGACGTTGCGCACAAGCTTCTTGGTGCCGACAACTGGGTCTTCTTGGACGGCAAAGACCACGTTGAATTCCGCAAGGGTCTCAACGGTCTTTTCACTCGCCAGGCTCTTTCTTTCTACCTCCCTCGCATGGAAGAGGTTTACAACGAGTACTACGCCCGTTTCTTGCGCATCTCGAAGGAGAACAACTTCAAGCCCACTCCCTGGATGCCCGAATTCCGTGAGCTCATGTGCGCCGTGTCCTGCCGTACTTTCGTCGGCCACTACATCACCGAAGAAGCTATCCAGAAGATCGCCGATGACTACTACATGATCACTGCTGCCCTGGAGCTGGTTAACTTCCCGTTTATCTTGCCTTACACCAAGGCTTGGTACGGCAAGAAGGCTGCCGACATGGTTCTGGCAGAGTTCTCCAACTGTGCTGCCAAGAGTAAGGCTCGCATGGCCGCGGGTGGAGAAATCTCTTGTATCATGGACGCATGGGTCAAGGCTCAGCAGGATTCCGCCAAGTACCGTGAGAAGATCGCTCAGGGTATCGCCGTCGAGGCCAGTGACAAGCCCGCCCAGGTCCTGCGTGACTTCACCGATTACGAAATCGCTCAGACCGTCTTCACCTTCCTGTTCGCCTCCCAGGATGCCACTAGTGCTGCCTCTACCTGGCTGTTCCAGCTCATGGCCGACCGCCCCGATGTGCTTGACAAGGTCCGCGAGGAGAACCTGAGCGTTCGCAACGGTGATATCAAGGCCCCTCTGACTATGGAGCTGCTTGACCAGCTGCCCTACACTCGTGCTGTCGTCAAGGAGACTCTGCGTTACCGCCCTCCCGTCATCATGGTTCCCTACCTGGTCAAGAAGGACTTCCCCATTACCGAGAACGTCACCGTGACCAAGGGCTCCATGATCATCCCCTCGGTGTGGCCCGCCTGCCACGATGAGGAGGCTTACCCCAACGCCGACTCTTTCGACCCTGACCGCTGGATTACTGGTACCGCCGAGCAGCAGACCAAGAACTGGCTTGTCTTCGGTACCGGACCCCACTACTGTCTTGGCCAGACCTACGCCCAGCTGAACCTGATGGCCATGATTGGCAAGGCCAGTATGGAGATGGACTGGGAGCACACTCCCACTCCTGAGTCGGAAGACATCAAGGTCTTTGCTACGATTTTCCCTCAGGTATGTTTTCCTTGCGCTATATCGACTCGAGTTGAAAGCTAACAAAGCCCAGGATGATTGCCTGCTTGCATTCCGTCCCCGCCCTTAAGCGTTCCTGCCGTCTTCGCTAAAGACGTCAGGCGCTGCAACGTCAGTTATGCCGGATTCTCCTGCCTTGCTGAAAAATAGCAAGCGCCTGCTTCGTGACTACGGGCACCCTCTTCTGTCCTGGTGATAGAATGGCTGCAGGCATTTCTTCTTTGCCTTTCTGAAATGTAACTACTTGTAGTATTGTTTTTCCTTTTTCTCCAATACTTTCTGAACCTTTGGGATGGGGAGTTGCGGACGGTCGACCCCTTGAGGTATGGCCACTGGCCTCTGTCTGTTGGAGGTATCGACACCCGCGGACAGAGTGTCTGGAGTAACATGATATTGAAACGATCCAACTGCGGTCGTCCGCTTCCGCGATGAGCGACGCATTGAAGGACATGTCATTTTTAGACCACGCTACCTAGAATTAATAATAATAATGTGACACCCGAGCTGCTAGCCAGGGAATAGAATACCATCACTAGCCCTATGTGAAAGATGTAGTTGAATAGACGTATTCCCATACAAACTTCAATAACCCGTGTCTGGATTCACGTCTAGCCCTCGCTCGCTATCACTACTACAACCCTTCACTAAACTACAGCCATCATGATGTTATATAAAGCCCATCCCTTCCCCCTTCCTCCCAGACTTCCTACTTCCAACAAGCTACTACATAAGCTCCCACACTCGACATAACAAATATATACAATATATACCCAACAAGAACAATGCGGCATCTCTCCAAGCGTATACTATTCCTCATTCGGCCATGTTCACCGGAAACCCACTGCCGATAGCAATATATCCATCCAAACCCTACATCAAGCCAAGATGCTTTCTCACCTACTACACCCATTATCTATAAAACACCGAATATCTCCAACAAACTTATATACAATACACCATATACCAAATAGCAAACCCACCGGCATGCTATCGCTGCCGTCTGCTTCCTAGTGCCTCAGAACGAGACGAACATAAAGAAGGCAGGTTGGGCTCCCCTAGTGACCACTCACGCTTACGGCATATACGGAATAAACCTACATATTCTGCTCCCACCCGCCATCTGCATCCACTCAGCCACTACCCTGCCAGATATGATGGCACCTAGGCGGGTGCATATCTACCAGCTAGTAGCTACTACACCGGGTGGATGTGGAAGCATATGTGGTTTCTGTTTCGAAGACCATACTGTTCAGAGATGGTTGTAATGGGACATATCATGGACACGACATGTTTTTAGAAACTGGTTGGGTGGCCGTTGAGGATGAGGAACAATAACAATGTATATGGGGACATATCTCTCCGTCTACTGGTTAGCGCGTTGACACTGCATGTCAAGAACGAGACGGTGGACGATGAGGATGAGGACCGGGGCATTCATTGAAGTCGTCGCTTCGCAGACGAAATACTATATATACGCACTGCCTTGCAAGAGAGCAAGAGAGTGAGGGAAAGAGTCTGAGATGCTCTCCCTATATCTGTCTCTTCCTTCCCACTCATTCGGTAATTGCTCCAATGTGAATGCAGCGAGACAGAACGGCGCGGTCGATTTGTGGGACGTATCTATGGTGCAATATTACATCATAATGGAATGGAAGGGCACATCTTTGCGGCTCTTATATCTGGGATGCTGTTATATGCCATGGAAAGACAGCCAACGTCTATGGACTATATGACGCCCGTTCAGCAGATCCGGGCTTTAATGCCGGACCGCATATACTGCCCTTTCAGATCTGTTCTTGGAAAGTACACCATCACGGACTTCACGCTAAACCCTATTTTGGTAACGGTAGATCGGCTTGGAGACTCTACTCTTTTTCTTCGATCTACAAGGGCAGTTCAATAACTGTATCTTGCGTTCCTCTATACAGTCGGCCTTCATGTCCTACGGTTCACCAAGCTATGTCGGAATGCAAAGACCGCTACAGAGGCTCAAGCATCTGCGTTGGAGCAGGAACGGACTTCAAAATAGCATCCCGAGTTAAGAGTTCGGTAATCGAGATATTTTGGCTTCAAAAATTGTCACAGGCCACACCCCTCCGAACGAAACAGTATTGGCATTCCCGATTAGAATGCCAGCTATTTCTGGAGCACTACCGTCACCTTTCATCTCGAGTCCTGCCATATAATCCATGCTAGGTGTAACAAGGTATCACAGACAGAACATGGTGGAGGCCTATGGTAATCTACATAGTCGCATCATATCTGACTGCTCTACTTCTTGCTTTCATGATCAGGTGGTGGTTATTTGTTCGAGTCCGTTGAGTACGGACCCATATATCTGAAGCAACTGAATATCCTGTTAGAAATGATAAGGTAGTATGTAAAATGAAGCCTGTTTAGCTTTAAACTTATGCTAATAACTTATATATTCAGTCCCCTGACCTATATCTTACTGGACAGATCTAGCTACTTAGCATTGTTCAAGATAAGATTTCTTTTCTCCAGGTCACTTCCTAGAGAGGCTCGGACATACAACCAGACATACTGTGGGAACATATAATGGACTTCTCGAAGTTCAGGTTACTAGAGATCGTGAAACTGGGAAGCTAATCACCACCTGTGAGCATAGAGTTCTTGGCTCTAGCCAGGGAACACTCTTTACTTCCAAGATTGACTTAGGAGCCTTATTATATGATCGCGTAGGAAAAACACACGGTATGTATTTTGCAGGTTCTGAACAGAAAAATCAGACATTCTTCATCTATATTGTAAAGAGAATGGTTCTTGGGCTTAAAGAGATTCTGTGGCTGTACTAGGCCCTGCGGAAATTGCTGTAATACTCTTATCTTACAATTTATAAAAGCCTGTATTCCTTCCTGGATCCTGTATTCTTGCCATTGTTCTAATTTCAAGCAATCTGCAGACTTAGCATTCGAAATAATCGGGTCATGGGAGTTGTAGAAATAGAACACATCTAGATAGTCCCGAAGGCGGTCAACACTGCAACTGACATCACCCGAAGCCGGACTTCCATCCGTCGGATATCGGCTGTCACTCTAGCATATCAGCTCGACAACTTTCTGGACTTTGCCTCGATCTCCAACCCAGACATACCAAGTCATCCTTCTCTGGGGTAAGTACTCCTCTGCTCACAAGCCACTTTACAATTCAGACAATAGACACCGTATAATCTCAAACCAGACACTAACTTCCGCAGAACTCCACCAACTACCTGCCCCATTCGCGCAACAGCACCAGCACCAGCAACAACCTCATCTCCAACCCAGAGGACGAAAACCAACAACAATGGCCTCTCTCCTCCCCCTCCGCCGGGCACCCACGTCCCTCCTCTCCTCCACCTCCAAACAATCTACCCTCCTCGCCCGCTCCCTCCGAGCCAGCACCACCATCCCCTCCACCCGGACCTTCAGAACAAGATCCTCCACCCTCCTCCCCAACACCATCACCAAGAGAACCACCATTACCCCCATTTCTCGCCCTCATCACTACCCCCTGATCTCCTCCACTTCAATCCGCCAAAAAAGCACCAAAGACAACGATGCCCCCACCTTCCGCCAATGGGGTTTTGAAGACGTACGTCCCTACCTACCTACTATCATAACCACCCCCCCACCCAACTAACCAAAGAATAGATAAACGCTTCCCTCCCCAACAGCCCGACTGAAAAGCCCATCATTTTAATTGACGTGCGCGAGCCCGCCGAGCTCTCCTCCACCGGCATCATCCCCTCGGCTGTGAGCGTGCCGCTCGCCTCTCAACCGGACGCACTCTTCCTGACTCCGGAGGAATTCGAGACGAGGTTCGGGTTCCCCAAGCCTGGTGTGAAGGGGGATGAGGAGGGTGCCGAGATTGTGTTTTATTGTAAGGCGGGGGTGAGGGCGCGCGCGGCGGCGCAGTTGGCGGAGCAGGCGGGGTATGAGGCAAGTAGGCTGGGGGTTTATGATGGGAGTTGGTTGGATTGGGCGAAGAAGGGGGGTAGGGTGGAGAGGTGGGAGGGCAATGATAATTAATCTTGTCTTCTACTAGGTATGAATGGTAGTAGGTACTGATTGTGTGGGTAGATGATGGTTGTATGTGTGCCGGGTTGGGTTTGTATATATTGTATGTTGCCATAGTACTACTAGTATCATCACATCAAATGGGAGTTCGTTTCGAAAGTGAACAATCATCACTAAGTACTACTAGTAGTGGTCGGTATAAGGTATACTTAGCTTCTACTATGCTCTGCAAATTCGAACAAACAATCAATTCAACTAGAGATCCATGATTATCATTAACAGAAAAACAAAAACCTAGGTATCGACCACGCTTTACTTTTCCAACCACCTCTTCTCTTCTCTCTTCTCCCCCCTTCATGTCATGTACAGGCATCTTGCTTTTGATTGAAAGTCGTAGTCATTTCTCATGCAATGCTCTTTTACTTTTTCTTCATCAAATCCTGAGAATGCACCCACATAAAGCAGCACTTGTCTCATCATCGCGGCAATGGAACTTGAGATCGCTATACAATACCACGATAATGGCATGCTGAAACCCGCTACCAAGCGCCATGACCCCGCCACGCTGTACTCAAGTGAGTGCCCAGAGCTGGTGATCCAAGGGCCATGCATGGGGCTGGGCTCGGTATCCGGGCTACAGAGGGAACTGGTAAGGCGATCATGGGATGTCAAAGACAGGCTTGAGCTTCTTGACGAGACCCCACTCCTCCATCGAGACATCGGAGCGGTAGAACTCCTTGAGGGTGTCGATACTGGCACGGGAGATGTGCGAGTACAGGGTGTCCTTGTCTTCGAGCTGACGGCCGTACATGGGCTGGTTGCTTCCCTCGATCTTGACGGCCACGGAGGGTTGACCCCTCTTGCAGACCTGGATGGGCTTGTGATCACGTTCGATAGAGACACTATATGCATGATTAGAAAATGTAAAGTAGGGATGATAACGGGGAAACACTTACACTCTGCCAAGGTCGATGATTTCCTTAGCGCCAGTCTCCGGGTTGGCCTTGACTGCCGCAACAGGAGTGTGCAGACGCAGACTTCCTTCCGCAACATCAACACCGATGACGATGGGGTCCTTCTTGTTGAACACAGCCACGGTCTTGAGTACGCAGGGGAAGACAGCAAGCATCTTGCTCTCTTCCTTGCGGCGCTCCGTCAGCTCAGCCATGTGCTTGGTGAAGTCATCGAACAGGTGGTAGATGATGTCGGCAGTGAAAATCTTGACACCGACTTCATCGGCATAGGCAGCTGCTTCCTTGTCCACCTTGACATCGAAACACAGCATAACGGCGTACTCCTTGGCCTTCTCCAACATGGTACCGGCCATCATGACATCACGCTTGTACACAGGACCGATAGAAATGTTGGCGACGGGAATCTTGGAGACACGAAGGAACTCGAGCAGAGCCTCCAGAGATCCAAGAGTGGAGGCCTGCACGCTGACACCACGCTGGTCCCTAGAGACCTTGCTAAGCAGGTTCTCCAGATCGGACATGACCTCTTCCTCAATGTCCTCCTCGTCGTCATCAGGTCCGACAACCATCAAACGAGAACCGGCAATGGCCTGTTCAAGGTCGTTGGCGGCAATCTTAACACCAAGGGCAGCCTTGACTTCCTTGTTGTGCACATACTGCGACTTAAGACGCAGTTCCTTGAGAGGAGCCGGTGTCAACAACGCTCGAATATTCGTAGATATAGGACCGTTTAGACCGCACAAAACGATTCGATCACCCTCGCGGAGGATACCGTTCGACAGGACAACGTCAATGGTAGTACCGAGACCCTCAATGACCTTCACCTCAAGCACAGTACACTCAACCTCGGACAGGTACATCAGGGAGTTGGTCATACGCTCCTGGGTGAGAGTGGTCAACAGCTTGAGCATGTCAGGGATACCTTCACCAGTGTGGGCGGAGGTGGGCACGAGAGAAACGTTGCGGGCCATGGACTTGTTCTCGTAGAACAGCTCCGAGTTAAAACCCTGTTCGGCGAACAAGAGCTTAGTGCGCTCCAAACGGGTGCGGAATTCGTTCTGAACGCCCTTGTTCTGCAAGGCCAAACTCTCTTGGAAGCCGTTGTTGTCGATCTTCTTCCAGCCGTACAGACGATCAATCTTGTTGAGGGCGACGATGAAAGGAGTGCGGCGATCACGGAGCAGCCTCATGGACTCAAGAGTCTGGGGCTCAAGACCGTGCATGATATCGACAACCAGGATGGCAATGTTACAAAGGGAGGAACCTCTCGAACGCAAGTTGGAGAAGGACTCGTGACCAGGGGTATCAATGATGAGCAGACCAGGGATCTTGAACTCAAACTGGCCGTCTTTGTTCACCACGGCAGTCTTCTGACGCAGAGCATCAACAGGGAAGTAAGTGGCACCGATCTGCTGCGTAATACCACCAGCTTCACCTTCCTGGACGTTTGTCTGACGAATCTTATCCAGCAACTTGGTCTTACCAGTATCGACGTGACCCAGAATACAGCAGATAGGAGAACGGAGGTTGTCCTTGGAGCGCGCGGCCATAGCCTCCTCGTGCTGCTTCTTTCTCCGCTCGGCGGCCTCGGCCTTGCGCTGAGCAATAGCCTTCTGTGCCGCGGACTGCTCCTCGTCCTCAGAGTCCTCGTCAGAGGACTCATCGGAATCATCCTCACTCTCGTCTTCCTCATCCTCCTTGGAGGCAGGCTTCTCGGTAGCCTTACCATTGGTGGCGGGCTTCTCCTCTTCCTCGTCGCTAGGAGCATCCCAGCTGTCCTTCACTTCCTCGGCATCAGCAGCCTTCTCCCAGTCATCGAGCTCGCTCTCTTCTCCGCCAGCGGCGGCGGCAGCGGCAGCAGCAGCCTCAGCCTCGGCCTTGGCCTTCTTCTCTTCCTCCTCCTTTCTTCTGCGTTCCTCTTCAGCTTCACGCTGGGCCTTGGCGCGGGCAGCAGCAGCCTCCAGGTCATCCTCCTGCTTCTTGGGTCCACGCTTCTTCCGGTTCTCGTAAACAGGGCGCTTCTTCTCGGCCTGGCCCTCTTCCAGACCAGCAACCTTACCAACACCAGCCGCAAGCATCTGCTGCATGCGCCGCTCATTGCGCTCCTTGGCTTCCCTCTGGGCCTTAGTGAGCAGCTTACCCTCCTTACGAAGCTGCTCCTTCTTCTCCTTCTCCTTCTCCTTCTTCCTTTGGCGGGCCTCTTCCCGCTTCTTCTCCTCTTCCTCTTCAATACGACGTCTCTCCTCCTCAGCGGCTTGCGCCTCGGCTAACAGGCGCTCCTCCTCTTCACGCTGCTTGCGGAGAGCCTCCTGTTGCTTCTGGATAGCAAGCAGGTGTGCAGGGATCTTCTTCTTCTTGCCGCCGGTTTCCGGAACGGGGGCAGCAGCGGGGGCGGGGGCGGCCTCTTCCTTCTTCTCAGGCTCGACTTTAGCGGGCTGAGCCTTCTCAGCGGGGGCAGCGGTCTTCTTCTTGGCAGCCTAGATGATAAGGTGGACCCGTCAGCTCGACACGACCATGAAACGATAAGAAAAGCTGCAAAAGCGCAAGAAACATACCTGCTCCCTCTTACGCTGCTTCTCACGCTCCTTCTTCTCCCTCTCCTTCTCTTTCTTGGACTTCACACGGAAGCCACCCTCCTCCTCCTCAGCGGGTTTGGGCTCAGGCGCAGCAGCAGCCTTCTTAGGCTTAGCCTTTCCGGCGAACACATCGTCTTCATCGAAGGTACCCTCCTCAGGCTGCTTGCTAGCGAAATCGGCATCGCCGTTGGCCTCCTGAGTGGCGTCCTCACCCTCAACGAAGTCATTGACCGGCTTTCCCTTCTTCGCCTTCTTGTTCTTGTTCTTCCTCAAAGCGGCGAGCAAACCGCCACCGCCCATGCCAGCATCCTCGTCGGCAGGAGCACCTTCTTCAGCAGCGGGAGCTTCGGCCTCACCACCGGCAGCAGGGGCAGACTCTCCGAGCTCAGCTTCCCAGTCCTCCTCTTGCCTCTTGTTTCCCTTCTTCTTGGGCGCCATATTGATAGGTTGAGGATTCGGTCGACCTCGATTTTATTCCTTTAGATGGATATGTGGATGGATATTACCCTATGTGGATTAAAAATGGACCGTTAGTTAAGTGAATAGAAATGTACTATGTGACCGAGCGATGTTGGCAGTCAATGTGGATGAATGGTGGTGGTGCGCACTAACAATGAGGTATCAGCTTTCTCCGGCCCGCGCGATCTGCGGAAGGCAAAGAGTGGCAAAAGATGAGCCCGAAAAGAAAAAACCTTCCAAAAGGGATCGTGAAGAATGGGAAGAAAAAGAAAGAGCGAAAAACAAGCAACCGTTTTCCCCCCTGGTGGTCGATAAGATCCAAAGGTTGGAGACTCGATGAGGCGGGAAGGACGAGTTGCCTTTGGGGTAATAAGAATTTTGGGCCGGGCGTTTGGTGGGGACAATCGCCGGATTATTATGCGAGAGGCCGCCGGTGGCCCGCGCTCTTATTGTTCACGGCGGGCACACAATAATTACCTTCATTGTATTAACCTGCTGGCTGCATTCAATTTGCGTCAAATATTTTGCATCTATGTACACGGTACAATTCTATATATATAGCTTGGTGCCAAATATTATCCTCCACAACCGAAATTGGTAGATACCCTTAGACATCCACCGGGAGGATCCGCTGCAGCCATCTCATAACGCTCGCAACCGCATCGCTTGCTTCCCCCAGTGCGTGTCTAGTCAGTTCCGCAAATTGCTCGGGGACTCCCTGCTCCGGACGGATTCCTGGAGCTGCCGGACCACCGAGCGTCTCCTTACTTAGCATCTGCATTAGATAGCCAGGCCCGCGTATGAGCAAGCGGCTGAGAACGTCACCGTCAATATGCATTTGAGATGGCTGAGGGTCCATCAGCCCGACTGGGTTGCGCTGTCTTCTCCTCTTGGGAATAAATGGGCAGATCATGGGATCGCGGATGCATAAGTCCTGCAGCAAGCGTAGAAGGCGCCACTCCTTCTCACCAATAGTCAAGAAACGATAGACTGTGCCATTCAT